ATGTGCCAGCTTAGTTAGTTACTGTCATCTACTCATTCCTTGTATTCTGCCTCTTGGTCATCTTTGATTCTCATTTATCTTTAAATTTTCTTGGTAATAAAATAATGCACTTCCAGCCACACTTGCCTAGGCTGTCTTATGTCCATAATTTCCAGGCTTGTTCAGTGGAATGAAATTAAAAGTTTTGCTTCAACTGCTGATTCCTCTGGATAGAATAAGAAAAATGATCCCCTTTGTAGACTTAGGTCTGGCAGCCAGAGAAATTTCCTCCAGAACAGAGAAAGCAAAATATGGAGGAGAAGATCAAAATGACAGGCAACTACCTATTGTGTGAGAATTCTGCAAACACTAAGCAGGGATATTAATTTAAACCACAAGGTAGTTATATCATGAATGAGCTTGAGCATCTTTTTATACCCTTAAAGGCTGTTTTCATTTCTTCTGTGAATTGCCTGTTCGTGGTTTCTTCCATTTCAATTGAGTTTTTTCCGTTTATTTATTTTTTATTTTTTATTATACTTGAAGTTCTGGGTTACATGTGCAGAACATGCAGTTTTGTTACATAGGTATATGTGTGCCGTGGTGGTTTGCTGCACCCATCAACCCGTGACCTACATCAGGTATTTCGCCTAATGCTATCCCTCCTCTAGCCCCCAAGCCCCAACAGGCCTCGGTGTATGATGTTCCCCTCCATGTATCATGTGTTCTCATTGTTCAACTCCCACTTGTGAGTTAGAACATGAGTTCTGGTTAAAGTCTGTTTTATCAGAGACCAGGATTGCAACTCCTGCTTCTTTTTGCTTTCCATTTGCTTGGTAGATCTTCCTCCATCCCTTTATTTTAAGCCTATGTGTATCTTTGCACATGAAATGGGTCTCCTGAATACAGCACACTGATGGGTCTTGACTCTATCCAGTTTGCCACTCTGTCTTTTCATTGGGGCATTTAGCCCATTTACATTTAAGGTTAATATTGTTATGTGTGAATTTGATCCTGTCTTTATGATGCTAGCTGGTTATTTTGCCCATTAATTGATGCAGTTTCTTCCTGGCATCAGTGGTCTTTACAATTTGGCATGTTTTTGGAGTGGCTGGTACTGGTTGTTTATATCCATGTGTAGTGCTTCCTTCAGGAGCTCTTGTAAGGCTGGCCTAGTGGTGACAAAATCTCTCAGCATTTGCTTGTCTGTAAAGGATTTTATTTCTCCTTCACTTATGAGACTTAGTTTGGCTGGATATGAAATTATGGGTTGAAAATTCTTTTAAGAATGTTGAATATTGGCCCCCACTCTCTTCTGGCTTGTAGGGTTTCTGCCGAGAGATCCGCTGTTAGTCTGATGGGCTTCCCTTTGTGTGTAACCTGACCTTTCTCTCTGGCTGCTCTTAACATTTTTTCCTTCATTTTAACCTTGGTGAATCTGACAATTATATATGTTGGGGTTGCTCTTCTTGAGGATTATCTTTGTGGTGTTCTCTGTATTTCCTGAATTTGAATGTTGGCCTCCCTTGCTAGGTTGGGGAAGTTTTCCTGGATAATATCCTGAAGAGTGTTTTCTAATTTGGTACCATTCTCCTCGTCACTTTCAGGTACACCAATCAAACGTAGTGGTCTTTTCATGTAGTCTCATATTTCTTGGAGGCTTTGTTCGTTTCTTTTCACTCTTTTTTCCTCTAATCTTGTCTTCTCTCTTTATTTCATTATTTGATCTTCAATCACTGATATCCTTTATTCTGCTTGATCGAATTGGCTATTGACGCTTAGGTATGCTTCACAAAATTCTTGTACTGTGGTTTTCAGCTCCATCAGGTCATTTAAGCTCTTCTCTACACTGGTTATTCTAGTTAGCCATTTGTCTAACTTTTTTTCAAGGATTTAGCTTCCTTGCGAAGGGTTAGAATATGCTTCTTTAGCTCGGAGAAGTTTGTTATTATTGACCTTCTGAAGCCTACTTCTGTCAACTTGTCAAACTCATTCTCCATCCAGCTTTGTTCCATTGCTGGCGAGGAGCTGTGATCCTTTGGAGGAGAAGAGGCGTTCTAGTTTTTGGAATTTTCAGCCTTTCTGCTCTGGTTTCTCCCCATCTTTGTGGTTTTATCTACCTTTGGTCTTTGATGTTGGTGACCTGCGGATGGGGTTTTGGCATGAATGACTTTTTTGCTGATGTTGGTGCTATTTCCTTTCTGTTTGTTAGTTTTCCTTCTAACAGACCCCTCAGCTGCAGGTCTGCTGGAGTTTGCTGGATGTCCACTCCAGACCCTGTTTGCCTGGGTTTCACCAGTAGAGGCTGCAGAACAGCAAATATTGCTGCCTGAAGCTTTGTCCCAGAGGGGCACCTGCCTATATGAGGTGTCTGTCAGCCTCTACTGGGAGGTATCTTGCAGTCAGGCTACACAGGGGTCAGGGACCCACTTGAGGAGGCAGTCTGTCTGTTATCAGAGCTTGAACGTCATGCTGGGAGAACTACTGCTCTCTTCAGAGCTGTCAGGCAGGGACGTTTAAGTCTGGAGAAGCTGGCTGCTCCCTTTTGTTCAGATATGCTCTGCCCCCAGAGATGGCATCTAGAGAGGGAGTAGGCCTTGCTGAGCTGCGGTGGGCTCTGCCCAGTTCGAGCTTCCCTGTGGCTTTGTTTACACTGTGAGCATAGAACCGCCTATTCAAGCCTCAGTAATGGTGGACACCTCTCCCCACACCAAGCTCCGGCGTCCCAGGTCTACCTCAGACTGCTGCGCTAGCAGCAAGCAAGGCTCCATGTGCGTGGGACCCACCAAGCCAGGCATGGGAGGGGATCTCCTGGTCTGTTGATTGTGAAGACTGTGGGAAAAGCACAGTATTTGGGCAGGAGTGCACCATTCCTCCAGGTACAGTCACTCACGGCTTCCCTTGGCTGGGAAAGGGAAATCCCCCGACCCCTGGTGCTTCCCAGGTAGGGCGACATCCTGCTCTTCTTCGGCTTACCCTCCGTGGGCTGCACCCACTGTCCAACCAGTCCCAGTGAGATGAACCAGGTACCTCGGTTGGAAATGCAGAAATCACCTGTCTTCTGCGTTGATCTTGCTGGGAACTGTAGACCAGAGCTGTTCTTATTCAGACATCTTGGAAGCAACCTTCTATTTTGTTTTTAACCATTAAAATAAACTTTAAGTCATTATGTGTATATATATAACATATATTACAATAGAGTGTACTCATTTTAAGTATATAGTGAGTTTTGACCTATGTATACACACACATAACCTCCTCCTTCAATTAAAATATGAAGCATTTCCATCGTCCCAGAAGGGTCCCCCTTTCCCCTTTGCAAAGTCTTTCTGATTCCCAGCATTCTAGGTTGGTAGTGTTTTTAAGAATTTTAAAAATTTCATTTTTTTGTCTTCTGGCTTACATTGCCTCTAAAGAGAAATTGGCTGTCATTCTGATCAACATACCCTTATGTAATCTTTTTTCCCCTCTATCTCCTTTTAAGATTTATTCTCTGTCATTGTCACTGGTTTTCAGCACTTTGATTATGATGTGCTTCACTTTGGATTTTTTTTTGTTTATTCTGATGGGCGTGCACGTGTGTGTGTGTGTGTGTGTGTGTGTGTGCATGCGTGCTTTCTCAATCTGTGGGTTTATACTTTTCATCAAATTTGGAAAATTTTTGGTTGTTATTTATTCAAGTATTTTTCTGCTTCCTCTTTCCCATTCTGGAATTCCATTTATACATGAGATAGAGTGCTGGATGCTGTCCGAGAGGACACTGGGATTGTTAATTTTTTCTTATCCTTTTTGTTTCTCTGCTGCACTTTGGAAAGTTTCTGTTACAGTGTCTTCAGGTTCACTAATTTTCTCTTTGGCAATATCTATTTTGTTGTTAAGCTTATTGAGAGAATTTTTCATTTCAGATCATGTATGTCTTAGCTTTTAAAGTTCCATTTGGTTCTTTTTATGTTTTCTATTTCTCCCTTCCATATTGTCATGCTTTTCTTTAAATCTTTGAGCATATTTACAGTAGTTGTTTTGAGGTTCCTATCTGTTAAATCATCTAACATTTCTGGAAATGTTTCTGTTGAATGATTTTTAATCTTTTTCCCCATTTAGAGCTTACATTTTCTTGTGTATTGACAGAATTTTGGATGTTGTGTTATGTTGAGTGCCTGGATGTTGTTGTCTTCCTTTAAAGAATATTTGTTTTTACAGGTAGTTAATTGTGAGTCAGTTTGGTTGTATCCAGGCACTTTTAAAACTTTGTTAGCACAGGTCTAGAGTAACCTTTATTTGAGAGCCAGTTTAGTCCTACCATTAAGGCATGCCTGTTATAGGTTCACTAATGAATGCCCCTTGTGTTGAATGAGGTTTTCCTGGGTGGTTGGAACTCATTTTATAGATCTCTGGCAGTTATTCTTCTCTTGACTTATAGAGTCTCATCCCATGCATGCACAGGTTAGTGTTTAATCCGTGTCTCAAGGGAACCCCAATGTATATTGCTGTAGTTATTTCTTATCTCTAGTACCATGCCCTACAAATTCCAGCTGCCTCATCCTCTCCATTTTTTTTTTAAACTCTGTTCTTTAACCTCAGTGAGATCCCTGTCCTCTTACAGGGTTCCTTTCTCTCTACCGTGGTTTGGAACGTGTATTGAGCAGAAAGCCAGGGCAATCAGATGTCTTTTCTCGTTTGTTTACTTCTCTCTGGGGTCACAGTCCTGTACTGCCTGTTGTTTAATGTCTGAAATGAGTGATTTCATATATTCTGTCCAGTTTTTTAGCTATTTGCAATGGGAGGGCAAGTTGTTTGTTTATCAGTAAAGTAATTCAATCATTGGTGAAAGTGGAAATTTTGAGAAAGTTAACTCTAAAGGGACATTCATTGCAAGGCAGACTTTGGCTATTTTCATGTTATTTTTAATTATTGAGGCTTTATTACATTTCAGTCTGTAGTTCTTTTCATCTTTTATATGGATTTTGTGATATGTGAGTAAACGCTCCAAAGCCTATAGTGAATTTCTGTTCTCTTTAAAGATTCTTTCTTGTGGAGAAGTTATTCATGTGAAGATTCTCGGAATTTTGGCTCTTATTGATGAAGGTGAAACAGATTGGAAATTAATTGCTATCAATGTGAATGATCCTGAAGCCTCAAAGTTTCATGGTAAGACTGTTACTTTCCAGAAAGTGAAAGTAAATTAGTGTGTCATTGGAATTCTTAGAACTTAAAAGAAGTTCACATAGCGGAGTTAAATGTACTTTTTAAAAACGAGAGAAGAAAAGAGGTAGATAGACACATTATATTTTAAATGAAGAAAGTACATTCTACTGGTTTCCGTCTATTCCCTTTTTCTTCCCTCTCCTGTCACCTCTCTTTCACTCTCCTCCTCTCCCTTTCACTCCTTCCTTCCCTCCTTTCTTCTTTCCTTCCATGGTTTTGATGGCCCACCTGCTATTGGGAATTGTTTTGAAAGCATCCTTTGACTAGGAATAAAAGCTTACAATACTGGCATTTGTACCTTGAAATCTCTTTTGTTCATATGACTAACAAGAAGAAACTAAGGAAGGAGTGTCATTGACAGCAAAAGCTATTTCTGCACCTAGTTTTTGTCTCTTCTTGTACAAATGAAGGAAGAAGTAACTGCCTTCTAATGAAATTTTGATGTGCTAGAAATTTTAAGTTCTGGAAATAGCTTGGTGTGATTTAATTTTGTTTGGAGTCAGACAGACTTCAGTTTAAGTTCTGGCTGTGCTACTTCCTGGATGAGTGACTTTGGGTAGATCATTCCTGAATTTCAGTTGCTCGTCTCTAAATGGAGATGATTATACCTACTTGTAAAGCTGTTGGCAATATAAGAAATGATTTATTTAAAGCATCTGGCTTTCACATACCAGTGTCGAATATATGACAACTATTATTATTCTTTGACCAATTTTTCCTCCATTTTTCTTTCCTGTTTTATTCTTGCTCAGGATCCTTTTTCCTTGTAAACTTCAATTCTAAAACTGGAAATATTACCATTTCTAAGATGACCGAACCTCATTAACAATGTATTAATCTTAGTTTATGTACCTTTTCTTGCACTTGAAACAGCAGGAGAGATTTCTGTGTTGTCATTCTTGCATATAATTGAGAAAGGGGGAGGTCTGGTAGGGTGAAGTGCATGTAACCTGAGGGTCAAAAGTAAAATGTGAAAACTACACTTAAAATAGGAGCCTCAAGTCTATAAACCATATATATTTCTTATCTCATTATTTTACCCTGATTTTGTCTATTTTTATACTTTTCATATACATATATATGAGAATAGTAAATAAATTTTATTTAGTTAAAAACATTTTTTAGCACCTTAACTGCTCCTCAAATGAGAATTGATAATCTATTAGTGCCACAGGCAGCCGAAACAAATCATCCACCTAATTCATTTGTGATCTGCCACACTAAAGTCATGAAACTGTACTAAGGGATGCCCCTTTAAGCTGAAAAAGCTGAGCACTTGAATGAAAATGAAAATATTATTTAGAGAGTAGTAGTTCAGTACTATTGGAGATGTGATTTAACATTTTAAATTGTCCAGCATATAACAAGCACTGGTGCCTGTTATAATAGATATTATTGTTCTTAACTTAGAAGATGCTCAGAGAATGTAAGTGACTTGCCCACGTTTGCAAACATGTAAATAGTATACAGCTTGAACTCGTTTCTGTCTGATTCTAAAGTGTGAATTGCTCAGTACTGTACTGAGCAATATATAGCCCATCTATACTATTACACCAAGCAATTCATCCTTGATTCTAGTAATTTATATATTTGTAACTAGAGGTATTGAAACTAGATCACATAAGCCCAGCACGACTCCTTGAGTTTCCTAAGTGTTAGAATAAAAAGTTTTAACTCTATTCATTTTATTTCTGTTGTGTACTCAGAATGGAGATGACTTTGCACTTTGGACATCTTTCTAAATTCCTTTCACATTTGCTTTTATGAAGAGATATGCAGAAACACTAAAGCCAGTTGCTGATTTGGGTTGAGAAGAAATTATTGAACTTGAATAGTTAAAACAAGATGTTATTGTTTTAGAAAACCAGTACATTTATCATTGTATTAAAAGTGAACACATGTGTTATTTTCATCATGAAAAATATAACAATTCTTATTCATAATATGTTTTTGAAATCCTAAAAGAATGAGTAAAGTATATGGGGAAAATGAAAATTGTTTATTTTAAGGATATTTGTATATTGTTCATATTAGTTAATACTTAAAGTACTCTTCTCTTACATCTAGATTTTATGAAATAAGTTTGGTAGGGTTTTTTTGAGACAGAGTCTCTCTCTGCCTTCCACGCTGAAGTGCAGTGGCACGATCTCGGCTCACTGCAACTGCCGCCTCCTAGGTTCGAGTGATTCTTGTGCCTCAGTCTCCTGACTAGCTGGGAGTACAGGCGTGTGCCACCACACCTGGCTAATTTTTTGTATTTTAGAAGAGATGGGGTTTCACCGTGTTGACCAGGCTGGTCTTGGACTCCTGGCCTCAAGGGATTTATCCGCCTTAGCCTCCCAAAGTGTTGGGATTACAGGTTTGAGCCACAGCGCCCGGCAAGTTTGATAGTTTTAAGAATAACACATTTTTTTCTCATTCCTTTTACCTTCACATTATTGTTAATATGTTCTGCATACCTTTGTTGAATTTCTTCTTTCTTTTCTCTTAATTTACAGAGACCCAGGAAAAAAATTGATGTAGGCACAAATTGAAAGGAAGAAGAGATTGTAGTATAAATGTTTTTTATTTTTGAAAAATTATTTGTAGTCAACAGTATTTAATCCTAAATCAAGCAACTTTTAAAATGATTTGGTATTTATGTCTTTCATATTTACCATCTAAAATCACAAACACAGGATTTTAGATGGCATTTTTAAAATTATAAAATTAATTTTATACATGGAAATAAAAACTCAGAAGTGTAAAAAACGGTATATAACATGAAAAGTAAAGTTTTTCTTCCTACCTCCCATCTCATCTTCTCATATCTTATCGCAAATGTTTTTTGTTCTTTTGAATGATTGCTTCTATTCTGTAAATGATGTGCTTAAATTTCTTAAATTATGCATTTTCCCTGTTGACTCAAATTATTACTTTGGAAGACAAGGAACTTAAATTCTTAAACATTTATCAACTGTGTTACCATATTTCTACTGTTATCCTAATAACTCTAAGTTGTATATTTGGAGCTGGATTTATTGCCTCATTGACTTTGAACAATAACTCTTAACTGCCCACTGTAGAACTTAGAACATTCAGTTTCTATATTTTTATCCTTTTCTGTCCCTTACAACCTAACTTCTCTCAGCTCCACTATCAATTCTATAGTGTCAAAATTTATAATGTTTACATTACGTGAAGTATAATTGTTTTTCCTATTTTGCTTCATGGTTGAATCTGAAAATTAAAAACTAAGTAGCATTTACAGTATTATTATGTAAATATTATTCATTTAGTTTATCATACTATTTATTAAGTGATCATCTTTGGACAGACTGTTCTCTGAACCTCCTGCATAGCTATCACCTGCGGGTTTCTTTTCAATGCTTGGTTAATTCTACTTACTTAAATTCTACCATTCCCTCTTTAGTTTTCCCTTTTCATTGTTGGCTGGTGTCCATTTTCCAAAAATATCTAATGCAGTAACTTTAAATATAAATTACTGTGTATAAATTGAAATTTATATTATAAAGGAATAAGTGATTTTATATTTTATGACTGTTTAAACATTTGTCATCTATACTTCTTGGCTTGTTTGTCAGATAAACGAGAAAAATTTAAAAACACTTAGGGGAGGGCAGCTATCAGGAATTTTCTTTTTAATTGTGTAGTTTTCTGGGGATGTGTGTAATATAGGAGTACATAGAGATTTTTTAAATTTCCTGTACGTTTTTATTGTTATTAGACATTTTAAAAGTAAATCCTTGGCCAGCATGGTGGCTTACACCTGTAATCCCAGCACTTTGGGAAGCTGAGACAGGAGGGTCACTTGAGTGCGGGAGTGTGAGACCAGCCTGAGCAACATAGTGAGTCTTCGTTTCTATAAATAAATAAATAATAAAATTCATATCCATCCTATTAGTTTCTACTATCTTTAGAAAAAGAGGCCGAGGCAGGCGAATCACCTGAGGTCATAAGTTCGAGACCAGCCTGACCCATGTAGAGAAACCCCATCTCTACTAAAAATACAAAATTAGCTGGGTGTGGTGACACATGCCTATAATCCCAGCTATTTGGGAGGCTGAGGCAAGCGAATCACTTGAACCCAGGAGGCGGAGGTTGTGGTGAGCCGAGAACACGCCATTGCACTCTAGCCTAGGCAACAAGAGCAAAACTCCATCTCAAAAAAAAAAAAAAAAAATCCCAAAAGAAAAAGAAGCTGTTATTTGGCATGGTTTGTCAAAGTTTTTCTTTTTTGAGAATGAAGCTCGTTTTAGTTCATAGTATGTCCTTATATCTGTGTATTTTCTTTTTATTCATATAGACACATTTAAGTTGTGGTTCTTCGAAGATGTTTTGGGGTTGTTTAAATTTGTGAACAAATAAAATAACTTTTTTTGGGAAATAAATAAAATGAAGTAACTTTTTTGATCCTGATTAACATATGTACAGACTTTGGTAGACTGTATACTCCTGTTTTAATATTTACGGTTTTTACTATGATGACTGAACTTAAACTAGCCATTGCATCAGAGAACATTTTTCAATTAGTAAAAAACTTTTTTATGGTTATAGTTCTGTAATTTTAACGTTACTGTTTTAAGTCTTCTAGTTTCACCTTCTAAAAATGGAGTAGCCACTGTAAAAGTCTAAAAAATATCCAAATAACATTTGAAATGAAACTCCCTGTACTCCGTGATACAAAATTGGTCACTTCAGCAGGCTCATTAACAGAGCACGAAGACCATTTTATGCCCTGTAATTAGGTTTCAGGCCCTAATGCTCTTGTTGGTACCCTAATGGCCTGTAAGAGTTAATAAGACTTTTAGGACACTTAAATTGTTACTAGAAAATACCTTGGCCAGTGCGAATAATAGCTTTGGTTATCAAATAACCAGGTTTAGAGCTTTTTAAGAGGATTGAAATGCTAGGGCATGTGTAATTTTTCTCGTGGTTAAATT